ACGTGCGTAGGCATTTGCGCATAACTATAAACAATCACAAATTCTGTTTTTTGTTTAGAGATGGTGTGGTATAGTTGTCCATTCGTTTGTTTCTTTGTTGCTTTGAATTAAGTGTGAATTGCGGATATCCTTTTCTTTTGCATCTGCGTCAGGTTGGATGAATTGTGATGACTCATTGTCTGTGAAATAAACCAAGTTCAGGGCATAGCTCAATACGCTGCACTCTCATTTATATGTGAGCCATGCTCTGTATATTCTCGTTCACTCATTCTACCCTCACAAGCCATAGCAAGTCTTAGTATGGTGTAAATTTTCTTTATACTCGAGCCTGTTTTAAGTTATACGTACTTCTCGATGAGTTATTGCTTTACCTATTAACACACTGTCTACGGGAAATCTCAATGTGGTGCGCACTTTCTTATCTACTTGAGTCAGGCCTAAGTACTTCGCGATGAGTCATTGCTTTACCTATAAACACAGTCTACGGGAAATCTTGTGCGCTTTCTTATCTACTTGAGTCAGGTTTAAGCACTTCGTGATGAGTCATTGCTATACCTACAAACACACCGTCGACGGGAAATCTCAATGTGGTGTGCACTTTCGTATATGCCTTTTCAGTCTGGCTTAAGCGCTTCTCGATGAGTCATTGTTTGCCATATTTGTACACCCACAGTCTACCGGAAATCTCAATATGGTGTATTCCAAAATCAAAGACAAAAATGGCGACGGATATTGTGGAATGGCTGTGACACTGAAGGAAGCGGGTATGTTATAGACATACATATGGATATGTTTTTATAGGGTTTTAGGGTTTAGGGTTTGCACATGTTCATATGTATGTTGAACTTGTCATACTGTGGTATTGAAAACGGTCACCGGGATAGATATGTACCCGCATACATACACGCACCTAATAATGCATACTATCGTTCTGATATACCTTATAGCCCGTTTAGTTGGTGGAATACCTGAGCTTAAGTGCTTCACTTTACCTACTTTTTCACTTTGTCCATGCGATCCCACATAACTACCTGTAAAATATAACAGTAGAAATATAAGAAATTTCCTGAAGTTTCTAATATGTTTACTCATATTATGGAAATAGTAGAAATATCCGTATTTCATTAAGTTCCTACTGGAGTTTTATAATACTTGTTTGTATTTGTGTATCCGTGTGTATGTCCAACTATCCCTTGAATATACTTCCCAGATCGTTTGACAATGCAAATGCCGGAGAAAATGGGTTTCTCTTGATACTATCTGCCATCCCTGCTACTACATGTTAGTCTACACGTGTATCTGTATATGTGCGCGTGCCCGACCAATCTATCTCATACGTTGTATATCCCACTCAAACATGCAACTGCAAGTACCTGGCCAAAGGTTTTAGGCCCACTTAGCCATGCAAGTGCAAGTACATCACCCCAACTGCTAGCACGTGCCGGTACATTCTATCTGCTCTGTTGCATGGGCTTACTTACATCCACCTGTACGTATAACTGTTTGATAAAGCACCGAACTATCCCTATTCATGTCCAATTTAACGTATATTTTTTACAGCCCACTTAGCCATGCAAGTGCCTGAGGCCAAGTACTTCACCTGGCATCAGCCCAGGAATCTCAGCATTCTGAGCAACGAATGGAGTAGGCGGTGAGTGAGTTTGCCTGACTAAACCCTATAGCCCAATATATATAGATATATATAATTGTGTGTATCTCTGTGTGTGTGACTTTGAATATCAACTAGAGCATATAGGAGAGACTATATATATATATATATATATGTGTGTGTGTTTGTATAGATTTATATATATATATATATATATATCAGGGTGTATATATCCTAGGCTTTTGTGTACAAATCTTAAGTGTATATATATATATATATATCTGTGGGTGTTCAAGTGCCATGTATCTTCAAATAATGCTAGTAAGAGTGCATATGTACGTATCTGAGGGTGAATATAGAGTATATAAGTGTGCGATCCGGAATCAGCATTCATATATAAAGAGGAAGCTGGTACAAATGTGTTTAGTGTATCTGTATCCGATGGCATATGTTTCAATCAATCTAGCTGACATATGTTTATGAAAGTTATCATACACACACACGCATATATATAAATATATTATTATTATAGTTATTATTATTATTATTATTAATAGTTTTATTATTATTATTATAATATATATAAATATATATATATATGTATATATATATATATGTATATGTATATATATATATATATATATGTATCATATATTTTATATATATATATACATAAATATATATATGTATGTATGGATGTATGTATGTATTTATGCATATATGTATGTATGTATAGATATGTATGTATATATATATATATATATATATATATATATATATATATATGTATGTGTGGATACATATATATATATATATATGTATTTACATATGTATATATATTATTATTAGTATATATATCTATATATCATATATTTTATGTATATGTATATATATGTATGTATGTATGTATAGATATATATGTATGTGTATATATGTATATATATATATATATATATTTATATATATGTATACATGTGTACATGTGTACATGTGTACATATATATATATATATATATATAAAGTATTTACATTTGTATATATGTATATATATATATATATATATACATATATATATATATATATATGTATATTTAAAATATGTACACATATTGTTGAGTACGCGCGTGTCTAAAATAATTATATATGTGTACCTCCAGTATGGCTTATCTCGCAAATATAAGATCATTAGGCTTGATTAAATGAACAAGCATTCAGTCTTAACCCCTACAGAGTCTTCGCATGTCGTGTATTATCAATCCAATTGCCTCAAACATGGTTTATCTCGCACGTCAATGGACGCTGAACCTGGTTCAAATGCTATGGTGCAGAGTTTTCGCATGAAGAACACCAATCTAAGTACCTTATTCCGTATTTTATCTCACAAATCTCTGGTTTTTAGCCCTGATTGGATTGACATTAAAATAATTTTCGCATGAACAACGCCAAATTAAGCACCTTTTCCCTTTTTACCACTTTTAAATCTCTGAGTTTTAACCCTTATTTAATTGGCATATTCCAGCGTTTTCGCATGGAGTCAGAAACGTGCGGACGAAGCAGGACGAGGCGACAAAAGAAAATGGATTCCAGAAGCACACGTCACTAGCGGCACTATAGAACTCAAATACGCTCCGTAAGTATGAAATAACACAACAGAAGTACACTACTTACTAGTAAAGGAAGGGATACCATATACCAATATAGGAATGATGTATGTATGTATGAAAGAACATGACATAAGTACACTACTTACCAGTAAAGGAATGGATACTATATACTAATATAGGAATGATGTATTTATGTATGAAAGAACATGACAGAAGTACACTACTTGCCTGTAAAGGAATGGATACTATATAGCAATATAGGAATGATGCATGTATGTATGAAAGAACATGACATAAGTACTTTACTCATCAGTATAGGAAACTATTATATATAACAGTATAAGGATGATGTATGTAAGTATGGAATAAACATAAGTAGACTACTTATCAGTGTAGCAATGGATACTATATAACAGTATAGAAATATTGTATATCACCGTCCGTGTACTGTATAATAGTATCAGAGCACGTATACTTTTTAATAGTATCAGAATACATATACGATATGATAGTATTAGAGTACGTATACTTCTTGATAGTATCAAAATACATATACGATATATTAGTATCTGAGTACATATACTTTTTGATAGTATTGGAATTCATATACGATATAATAGTAGCAGAGTGCGTATACTTCTTGATAGTATCAGAATAGGTAGACGATATAATAGTATCAGAGTACGAGTATCAGAGTGCGTATAAGTATCAGAATACATATACGATATAATAGTATCGAGATGTTGTGTAACTCTATATGTACACTGCAAAACACTGCGAGTATACGACACAAACAGTATTTTTGTAAGAACAAGGTTTGTAATTTAAATACATGAATACAAGATGAAACCAACTGCACTTCAAAGCTCAAATTCGCACCGTATGAACCCCAAAACAATACTAAACAATATGATACAGCAGTATGTCAATGCTGTAAGTATATCGTGAACCAAAACAATACTAAACTATACGATACAGCAGTATGTGAATGCTGCAAGTATATCGTGAAGCCGCATTAATGTGATGCAGAGCCGTATTAAGTTTGTTATATTGGATAGACCGTAAGTACGATACTGAACTATACGGAACTATACGGAATTAGACTGAACTATACGGACCTATACGGAACTATACGAAACTATACAGAATTATACGGAACTATACTGAACTATACGGAACTATACTGAACTATACGGAACTATACTGAACTATACTGGATCAGTGGTGGCTGTTGTATAGCACCACGTGTATATTGTGAAATCGCATAGATATGATATATAACCGTTTTAAGCTTACTATATTGGTATGTAGATAAATACATAAACACGTTGACGGTATCAGCGGCACTGTAGAACTCAATTCGCACCATAAGAAGGAGAGATTGCGCTTCATGTATTATATAGTGAGTGTGAGAGAGAGTAAAGTGAGTCTGTGTGCTTTATATATATATATATATATATATGTATATATATAGAGAGAGTTCGTTGAGTGTATGTGTGTGCTCGTGAATATCTATCATCATGTATTTTCGTTGATTATGGTGCGCATGCATGGATATAGCTGATAGATTGCGCATGTTACGGGCGCCCCCCTCCGGTTCTGTAGATATCCGTATCTACTAATATCTTACTTTGTATGTACTTTTAGTGCCGAGAGAATATGCATGTCAATCGAATCCATAGAAGTCATGCTTTTGCTTGATCCCAAATGTCTCCTTGTTTGCGTTTATCACTTGTTGTCCCATTTCATAGATTGCGCATGTTCGTATAACCTATAGTAAAACTATTTATGCTCGATCCCAAATGTTTGCGTATTTACGTTTATCACCCGTCGTACGTTTTCATAGGGCCGAGAGATTACGTAGTCAATGGTACCCATAGTAGATTACATAGTCAATGGTACCCATAGTAATACTATTTATGCTCGATCCCCAATACTTGCGTATTTACGTTTATCACCCGTCGTACGTTTTCATAGGGCCGAGAGATTACGCCGTCAATGGTACCCATAGTAATACTATTTATACTCGTTCCCCAATGCTTGCGTATTTACGTTTACCACCCGCCGTACGTTTTCCGTAGGGCCGAGAGATTGCGCATGTCCATGGAGCCCATGAGCGGGGAAGAAGAAGACATCTTCAGACGACTGTCTATCGGAGACCGGAATGTGTTACACAGATCCCGAGGCAATAGTACGGATTCGGAAAGAAGTAGAACGGGAATTATGGAATCAGACCGGAGGCCCAGTGTATCGCCGGTTCCGGAACTGCCTATGATTGAAGATGAATCGCCGAATAAGGAAGGTGGATTGCCTGATAAGGAAGGTGGATTGCCGAATATGGATTCGAATCTCTCGCTCGATAAGGTGAGTGTGATCAAGATATAAATTGGATCGCCCAGGGTTCGATTGGTCGTGTAGGGGTTTAAAGTTTATTAGTTACTATTGTATTCCTAACCTCGACAACACTCTCACCCACCCCCGTGCAATACAATGCACACACACGCGTGTACAGAGAGAAGACAAACGCAAAGTAACCATCTACCGAGACCGCAATATGGTGTACAAACTAATTGGCGATATAAATGGCGACGGCTTTCTCGGGAAAGTGGATTCGTTACAGAGCGCTGCTGACCTTGCAGCAATGTACCCGGAGATCAGAGGGTTTGTCTATCACTCAGCCAGAATGCCGGGGAAGTATGCAGGGCGTGTTTATGGCTGGAATGAAGAAAGGTACGAAAGCGTATAGTATATGGATGAGTATGTATATATATATATATATATATATATATATATATATAATATA